CGCACGGAACCCACAGGGGCGTGTCCGGGGCAGGTGGTGAGTGATTGGGTGGATTCATACGGCGCAGTCCTGTGCAGCAAGAACCCTCGATGACTGACTGCTACACACAACATGCAGGGAACTCAGGCTGGAGACGAGAGAACACGCGTGTGGCTCCGTGTATGTGAAGGTCAAGGGCAGGTGGGCAGGGGTGACTGGGACAGGCCGTGAGGCCCCCACCCACCAGACGCACCGGAGCGGAGTGTGCTGTGCGCCGGCCAGGGGCGCCCCCACCGGAGCGGAGCGCCCGGGATCTCTCTGACGGGGACGCTGGACTCGGGAGCTACTACCAGCGAACTTGTCCTTCATGGGGGACCAGCCAAGCCAGAACTGGGGTGGCAGCCGGAGACGGGGCACCCACCCCGGCCGCGCTGTCCTTTCTTTGTTTTTAAGAAAAAGATGTCTGTGGATCTCAGAGAGGACGGGAGAGGGAGCGGGAAACATTAATGAGAGAGAATCACTGATCGGCCGCCCCTGCGCACCCCCTGCTGGGGAGCCAGCCCACAACCGGGGCCTGGGCCCTGACGGGGAATCGAACCGTGACCTCCCGGCTCATCGGTCGACGCTCAGCCCCTGAGCCACGCTCTTCTCGGTCTCGCCTTTCCCGCAGCTTCTCACTCATAAAGAGGGGGCTCACGGCACGAACCAGCCAGACGCCCCGACGCCTCCCCTCCGGCCCGGCCTCCGAGCCCCACGCCCCAACTTCCGACGAGAAGCAGTTCTCTGTCCGGGTTCCTCCCAGAGACCGCCGTGTGCCTCCCGGTCAGTCCCGTCTCCGCTGGGCAGTGGCCTCACGGAGCCCTGCCCCAGGGGTGGCGCTGCCCTCAGGGGCGTCTGTGGGCTCCCGGCTTCCCCGGAAACACCGCGTGCAGGCGGGCTGGGCAGCCGGCGCCATCGCTGCGGCTCACGGAGCTCCCGCCCGCGTTCCTCGTTATCGCGGGGTAAGTGCACGCCGCCGAAGCGAGGCGTGGGGCGCCCTGCCCGGCCCCCGCCAGCACCAGGTCCCATCGCACCTTTGGACCCCGCCAGGCTGACAGGTGAGAAACGCAGGTCCCTGGCGACTTCCCTTTCCCTCTAAGTGAGGCGTGCTGAGCTGGTGGTGGTGGTGGGGGGGGGGGGCACGCTCTGCTCGCATGCCGCCTGGAGCAGGGTCCTTGGGGAGGATTCCCTGACTCTGCAGGCGGCTACCTGAGGCCAGGGGCCCCGCGGCTCGGCCTGTGTCTTCGCCTCTGGCCCAGCACCCCCCCTTCCCGTTTGTCTGCAGCCGCGACCACATGACAGCCAGGAGGAGCAGCAGCAGGACGAGCAGGTGCGCCTGGGGGAGCCCGAGCACAGGACGGAGCAGGGAGGCGAGCGCTGAGCCCGAGCTGAGCAGAGAGGACAGGGCCACCGACGCCCCCTCCACAACCGGACAGTGACCACTGTCCTCTCTGAGCCTCGAGCAGCCACGGCCCAAGGACCCCGCGGCCTGGCCGGGGGCTCTGCTGGTGGAGCGTCACCCCTGCACCAAAGGGTTGCGGGTTCGAGCCCCGGAAGGCACATACCTAGGTTTCCAGCTCATCCTCAGTCGGCGCATACGGGAGGTAACTGACCGATGTTCCTCTCTCACATCGATGTCTCTCTCTCTCTCTCTCTCTCTCTCTCTCTCTCTCTCTCTCACAATGAGTAAGGACTGACCCTCAGTGAGGGTTTTTTAAAAGACTGCCCCCCTGCAAACACCCCATTGCAGCCACTGACCGGAGCAGGAGCAGCTCAGGGCGAGGTTGGGGGACGCCCACAAGCGTGTTCTTTTCTTCCCGTGGGGCGTGCGGCGTGGAGCTGCACCCGGGAACCTGCCCGCCCGTTTTCTTTGGCAGAAAAATGGTGTAAGGGGCGTCCTCGGAAGTCGTCCTCCCTTTTCCTCCTGTCCCCGTGCTTAAACCTTGTCACGTGTCTCCTAGAGGGTCGGACACGCCAGTGCGCCCACAGGGCGGCCAGCTTCACCCTCCCCATCGCCCCGAGGCGGGGATGCAGGCCTGGCAGCCGGGCACCCGGACAGTGGGGAGCCGCATTCCGGCCCCGGCAGGACCCTCCGTCCGGCCTCTCCTCCCCCCCAGGTCTCGGGAGGACAGCACAGGGAGTGACAGGCAACATCTCGTGCTCCTCGTCTTACACGTGGCGTAGCCGACAGGCCCGACCATGACCGACCCCAGCATCCCGGCTGCAGTGGGAAAAGGGCTCCTGGGGAGCCGGGTGGGCACAGCCTGTCCAAGGTCAAGGATGAGCACAGAGGAGCAGGGGCACCTCGAACCCGCATCTGCGGCCACAGTGTGAGCGCCTTCCCCGTCCCCCTTGGCCTCAGACCCCGAGGTGGAGCTCGGACCTCCCATGGCCGCCTCCCCTGGGTCTGACCGTTTTTAAAACACAGGTTTTAACGACCTGGTCGTGCAAACGCAGCAGGCAGCAGTGTTGGGGGGCTTTTGGGGGCGCTGGCCACGTGGGGCTTCACCCCGTCCTACTCCCAGGGGCCCTGGGTCAAGGCCCAGCAGAGCAGAGGCTGTTCGGTTTTTTTTTTTTAAAAAAGCCTCACCAAGCGTATTTTCCCATTGATTTTTAGGGAGAGTGGGAGAGAGAGGGAGAGACAGAGAGAAACATCGATGTGAGAGACGTCGATGGACTGCCTCCTGCACGCACCCCGACCAGGGCCGGGGAACCGGCAACCAAGGTGCGTGCCCTGGACCGGCATCGAACCCGGGACCCTTCAGTCTGCGGGTCGCCGCTCTAGCCACCGAGCCACACTGGCCAGGGCAGAACAGCCGGTTCTGAACCGACCTGAGGAGGCTCCCGTGTTCTGCGGTCCACCCGCCTCTTCATCACCATCCCCTGGATATCGGGCCCGGCGGGCCTTTCACGCCTGAGGTGGCACCCCCTCCCCCGCCCGCCCACCCCCACCCGCACGGCCCTTCCGTTCTGGGCAGCACGTCTCATCGCGGGAGGACGAGCGTGTGGGGACGCGGGGAGGACGTCGGAGGAGGAGGACACAGGAGGTCGGAGGTCGCCGCACAACACAATCTCCGCCTGGAATCTTCCCTCCACCTCTGGGCCCTGAGCCCCACCCTCTCACTCGGCTCCCGCGTCCCCTCTGCCGGGATTCTTTCCCATCCAGGGAGTCTGAGCCACTCTGGCTGCGGCTCAAGTCCACACGGCACAACCCACTTCAGGACAGGGGGCCTCACACTCCCTCTGTGCCCCCACAGTGTCCCCGAGCGGGCACCCCACAGCACCCCCACAGCGTCCCTGAGCGGGCACCCCACAGCGCCCCCACAGCGTCCCTGAGCGGGCACCCCACAGCGTCCCCACAGCGTCCCCACAGTGTCCCCGAGCGGGCACCCCACAGCGCCCCCACAGCGTCCCTGAGCGAGCACCCCACAGCATCCCCACAGCGCCCCCACAGCGTCCCCAAGCGGGCACCCCACAGCGTCCCTGAGCGGGCACCCCACAGCATCCCCACAGCGTCCCCACAGTGTCCCCGAGCGGGCACCCCGGCCCGGCAGCACCCTCAGAAGGAGAGCTGGTTCAGGGCCCATTTTACGGGGTCGGTGAGGAGGAGGCAAACACAAGGGGCCTCAGACAGGGAACGCTGTGCAGCCCCGAAAAGGAAAGAGGCGGCCACCTGCTCCCCGTGGACGGGCCTGGAGTGACTCCCAGGGAGACCAGCCGTCCCAGAGGGACAGACGCTGTCCACCTCCCTGGGTCCCTGCAGGCGGCAGACGCACAGGCCCCGTGGAGGGTGGGCCGGGGTGGGAGGGGCCGGCCTCCGTGTGGGAGGTGGAGGTGGGGGTGGCGGCACATGGCAAGGAGCCTGGCCAGCCCTGCACCTTGTAGGGATCGGGGGGTAACGTCTACGTTATGTGCATTTTACCACCATTTACACATGCACACGGGGACCCTCCCGTGCAGCCAGGACTGTGGGCCGTGGGCGCTCACAGATCCACGCTGTGCTGGGCAGGAGGCTGGGCTGGTCCCTGCCCTAGACCACCGGCCACGGCACCACCCACAGCCGGAGAGGGGAGGGAGGGGGCGGGGGGATGGAGACTCAGGCGGAGAGCGGGCAGCACCACTGCCCGAGGCCTAGGACCCCCAGCACCTCCTGCTTCCTGCGGGGGCGACCGGACACCTTCAGGGCCATGAATGTCAGGGGACACTTTTTCAACCACAAGCCAGAGGCCTGGCGAGAAGGTGGGCGCCCAGGCCAGCCCGGCCCAGGCCCGGTCAGCGGGCGGCTCCCTCGTGGCCACACCTGGGGCCCCCTCCCTGTGGCCTGGGCGCTCTGAGCCTGGGGGACCGGCCATCTCCTCTGGGCCTGACCCCCAGGCCGGGAGGACCTCACCTCGCATCCAGTCACATCCCCCCCGCCCCCCCTCCCGCCCCAGCTCTCAGGAGCCTCTGAGTCAGGCCTGGCTGAGGTCTGGGAACTTCCTGTCCCCTCAGGTGGTGGAAGAGGCTCTTTCCCTCCCTCCTCTCTCCTCCCTCCTCCCTCCCTCCTCCCTCCCTGGGGGCAGGTGTGGGGACGCTCTGCTCTGCGGGGTCACCCCTCCTCTGAGGGGCTGGCACTCTGCCCGGTGGACACTCGGATGGTCAGAGAACCGCGGAGACTCAGGGAGGTGCAAAGTGAAAGAAAGAGAAAGGCTTGGAAGGGGGGGACAGAGAAAGGGGGGGAAGAGATGGAGGGGGGGGAGAGGAGCAAAGGGGCCCAGCACTGGGCCAGCAGAGCCAGACACTCCCCACCCCCCACCGCCACTCACAGCCCACAGCCCTCGAGGGACGCCCAGGCATCCCGGCCAGGCACCCTGTACCCTCAAGTACGCCCCCGCCCCCCCAAGTCACTCCCCCCACCAGGACCAGGCTCTCTCCCCCAGTGCGTCCCCTGACTCCCGACGCCCCCCTCAGTCCCTCCACCCCCGCACGTCCTCTGAGCCTACCTGGGGCGCTCATGCTCTGCCAGCTGCGGGCACCTCCTCCATGCAGGCCACGGGCTTCCTCCCGGCGCCCGGCCCTGGGCCTGGCCACACCGTCCAGCGCCTGCCCGGGGGCTGCAGGGCCGGGGTGGGGGTGGGGGGCAGCGCTCCCCGGAGGCAGGAGTCCGACACCAGGGGAGGCAAGAGAGAGAAAAAAGAAGAGAAAGTGTGTCACAGACCGGGAGGGCGGGGGAGGGAAATGCAAACCCGACAGGAAATGAGACTAAAATGCAAAATGTTAGAAGAAGAGATAAGGAAGAGGGGGAGGGGCGGGCTGGGTCCCAGGCCCGGGAGCAGCGGGCGGTGGGTGGGCCCTGGGCGGGGCCGGCGGCCGGCTCTGTGGACACTCGGTGGGCCCTGTGGCCAGCCACCTGCCCAGCTCTGAAGCCTGCAGGGCGGGTGTGGCCGTGGGAGGGGGCCCCAGAATGGTGGGGAGCATGAGTCCTGTGGCCTGGACCCCCCAGCCTCCTCCCGCCTCACCTCTGTGCCAGCAGCCCCTGGGGCTGGCCGGTCCGCTGGAGGGGCCCCGGTGACCGAGGCTGCCATCCCTCCCGCCCCCTGCCTGCCCCCAACCCCCCCACGGCCCCCCCCCCCCGCCCCCCGCTAGAGAACAGCCCCGTCGCTTCCTGCTCTGATGTCTGGGGAGCGGTCCTCGGGCCCTGGAGGGAGACAGTCCTTCAACCGAACGGCCGAGCGAGAAGGCGCGACTCCGCGTGCGGCTCGCGGGCCCTGGCGCCTGGCTCCTGCGGGCGGCCGGCGGACAGGCGGACAGGCGGACAGAGCGCGCTTCCTGCGAAGCGTCCAGAATGAACCCTGGAGCCCACAGAGAGAGAGGGCCCAAGCCCACCCGGCCGCGGCCCGCAGTCCTGGGTCCCGGGACCCTCGGGGCGGCGGGTGCATGTGCCCTCGGGAAGCCGCCCCCCCTCCCCGCTCCCCTCCTGCCGGTGGGGGCAGCTCCGCCTGCAAACCCCCATCCGGAGCCCGGGATGCACCCACCGCGCACACTCTGCCGGCAGCGGAGGGAGGTCCGAGCAAACGGCCTGCGAACCACCCGCCCAGACTAGAGCTTCGCCCCGGGCTCCCTCGCAGCCCCGTCCTCACACCCGCGGACACAGGGTCTGACCGCTCCCGGCGCAGAGCGGTCCGGCCGCCATCGCCAGCGCGTTTGCCGCCGGGGGCCAGGTGCAGGCCCTCCTCACGCTGCTCTCGCTCGGACCCGGGATCGATCGCGGGATCGCGTGTGGCTCGCGGAGCTGCCCCCCCACCCCCGGAACCTGAGCACACGCAGCTTGGGGAGAGGGGGGCGAGCACAGTGAACACCCCCCCAGCGGGCTGTGCTGAGCGTGTGCTCTGTTTGCTTGAACACGTGTGTGCCCTCTGTCCCTCTGGTCATCAGGCCTTGCTTTTTGGAACATGTTTCTAACCAAGTTGAAGACATCCATGCACACACCATGCACACACATCCATGCACACACATCCATGCACACACATCCATGCACACACCATGCACACACATCCATGCACACACATCCATGCACACACATCCACGCACACACCATGCACACACATTCATGCACACACATCCATGCACACACCATGCACACACACCATGCACACACATCCATGCACACACATCCATGCACACATCCATGCACACACCACGCACACACATCCATGCACACACATCCATGCACACACCATGCACACATATCCATGCACACACATCCATGAACACACATCCATGCACACACACACACCATGCACACACTATGCGTGCACACCATTTACACACATCCATGCACACACCATGCACACACATCTATGAACACACATCCATGCACACACACCATGCACACACTATTCGTGCACTCCATTTACACACATCCATGCACACACATCCATACACATCCATGCACACACATCCATGCACACGCCATGCACACACACACCATGCACACACACACCATGCACACACACACCATGCACACACTATGCGTGTACACCATTTATACACATCCATGCACACACATCCATTCACACACCATCCCTCCATGTGGGGCTGATGGGGGCATCCTACAAAAACGTGCAGAACACGGTGGGCTGTGGTGCTGCTGCTGTGGGACCGAGGGCTGCGGGCGGGCGCGGGGCTGGTGGCGGGCCCTCTGGGCGCCACGCGTGGGGCAGGTGGATGCGGAGAAAACGGGGACTCAGCCATTCGCAGCAGCTGCGCTCTCGGCCCGTGTTTCCTTCCCGAGGGGGCGGAGGACAGCGCCGACACTTCATCAGCATCAGGGCAGCCGGCGCTGCACGGCCGGTGCGGTGGGGCCTGTGCGGGCGCCGCCAAGTGATGAGGGAAGCGGTCAGGACGGGGCCGCGAGCGTGGGAAGTGGTCAGGGACGCTGTCTGTCTTGGGAGCGGAGGTAGCAGCTGGGACCTAGGAGGCTCTGAGTCGCCGGGGCCACCTCCTCGGAGTCCTTCCCTGGCTCCAGGGCACCCTGTGCGCCTAGTCCCCGTTTAAAGATGGAACCGGTCCGCCGGCTCATCCCGCCCAGGGCGCCCCTCCCGCGGCGCTGAGAGGGCACCGGAGCCACCAGGCCGCCGGAAGGCCTGTGTGCAGCACGACGTCTGAGCCGGGAGTCAGGCTCCTGAGAAAGACCAGCGCCGTGGCCAGAGGACTCGCACCTTAAGACCATCCAGGGGCTGGGCTATGCGGCACCTCCCGGCGGGCGTGCCTGGCGCTCCGTCTGCTTCCTGAGGGCCCGCCCGCCAGGCCACTCCAGCGAGAGGGGAGCTCCCATCTGCCGTGGGCGCACCCGGCACTGTCCCTGTGGGCACCAAGGTGTGACACTGATGTCAGACAAGTCAGAAGCTTGCTTTCCTGAGAGCCCACCCAACCCTTTGGGCTGCGCCTTCGCATCTGCACATCCTCTGGCATGAAGTGCGCGGTCACCCACACTGGCCTTGACCACCCAGAGAGTGTGGGCGGATGTGTGTTTCTACCTTTAGTTTCTTTCTTTTTTTAAATATACTTTTTTGATTTCAGAGAGGAAGAGAGAGGGGAGAGAGAGAAACATCAATGATGAGAGAGAATCATGGATCGGCTGCCTCCAGCACACCCCACACTGGGGACCCCGAAACCCGGGCATGTGCCCTGACCGGGAATCGAACCGTGACCTCCTGGTTCATAGATCAATGTTCAACCACGGAGTCAGGCCGGCTGGCCCTTTGAGTTTCTTCATGGAGGAGCTGTGTCGTGGGAAGTGTCCACCTCACCACGGCTCGGTTCCGGGTGTGGAACGTGGAGGGGTGTCACAGCTGCGTGAAGGGTGAGGCGAGAGGGCGAGTAGGAGGGAAGGGAAGTCAGACGGGAGCGTGGAAGCAAGAAAGGGAGGACTGGAGGCGAGAGGAGAGCCAGCCGCAGCGGATCTGATCATACAGAAGCCGCTGGGGAACGGTCTGTAGGTGCAGTAGCAGTCACCCCAGTTCCGAGGCTGACGCAACACACGGGTCGGCACCCTGCCTGCCGTCCAGGCCGGAGGGCTGCACATGGCCCTGTCCGAGGCGCCCACGTGAGCGCCTGCAACAGTGGACATACCCAGAGCGAAAGCAAAGCAAAACCACCACCAAACCACACAACACACACTCACACACACACACACACACACACACACACACACACACACACACTCATACACACAGTCACACAGCCACGCACACACTCACACTCAGTCACACACTGCACACTCACACACACACTCGCACTCACACTCACTCATGCACACACACATTCACACCCACTCACACACTTGCACGCACACACATTCACACTCACGCACACACACACTCACACACACAGCATGTGCCAGTGACGGCCTATATAGGCACAGCTCTGGGGCGGCTGGTATGAAATAATGATGAGGATGGGCCCATACAGTGTTAACATACGTGACCAGAAACATAAAGTACGTTCATATTTTTCATGGCCGAGTCGTATCCCACTGTGTAAACGCACCCCCGCCCCTTCACCCGCTCGTCTAGGAAATCCCACCCTTGGCGACAGCATGGGGGCCTGGAGGGCGCTATGCCGAGTGAAACAGGCCATCAGAGTGCCGGGAGCCGGTCCATCCTTGCTGTTTCAAGGGACCTGGCATATATGGCATACTGTTTTTAATATGTTTGCTAACCTTCTTGGCACTATGTGTTTTAACCAAGGTCACCTCTCTGAGAAAGGTTGTTTTCCCAGGTAGGGATTTTCCCCTGAAGTTAGGGAGGGAATAAAACCCCTTAACTAAGTGCCAGGCAGGTAATTAATCACTTTAACTACGAATAATCATGCTTAAGCTACATAATCTTTACTCCCTGGAATGGAGATAAGAAACGCCCTAACCTTTGGAATAGAGATTGATAGGATTGGAATCAACTGGTATAAATACAGATGTAACAAGACAACAGGACACAGAACCTAGACACAGAACCTACACAGAACCTAGAGACAGAAGAACTTCGCTGGAGAGAACATGGCAAAAGATCCTGGACAGAAACTGGCCACAGAACCTAGAGAAAGAACCTAGCGAGAGAACCTGGCTGAAGAACCTAGAGACAGAACTGGCTACAGAACCTGGATAGAACATGGCAAGAGAACCTGACTAGAACCTGGTGACTGAACCTGGCTGGAGAACCTGGACAGAACCTGGCTGGAGAACCTAGCAAGGGAACATGGCTACAGAACCTGGCTGGAGAACCTACAGAACCTGGCAATAGAACCAGACAAGAGAACCCAACCATGCTGATCAACTGAACGCTGCCTCTGTGTCATTCCTTCTTCATCAACTCCGTCCACACCTTTGGGGACCCCTGGACCTGCTGGGGTTGGACCCCAGCATCTGGCTCCCGAATAGGGACCCATTAGGTAAGCCCCCCCGCACTCGGGATGGATAGGACTCCACCATAGGAAGAGGGTGGATAGTCTTCGCCGACTCCGTCCACACCTTTGGGGACCCCTGGACCTGCTGGGGTTGGACCCCAGCATCAGAGAAATACCAGTGCCTGTGAGTTCACTCATAACGAGCAGATAGAGACAGACTCCTAGAGCGGCCGGGGCGGGGGTGGGGAGAGTGGGAGGATTGAGCAAAAAAAGGGGAAA